TCCCTCACCTCAAAAAGAGGTGATTCTTTTACGGTCACTACTCCTGAGCAACCTCTCATCTACTTCCTCTCTCTATTAGTCTGTTCTGGGTATTTCATATACAAGGCTCATCGAGTCCAGGGCTGCTTTCTCTCAGCAACATGTTTTCAATGTTCATCCATATGGTAGCATGTTCCAGTCCTTAATCCTTTTTTATAGCTGAATAATATTCCACCGAGTAGATAGACTACATTTTGCTTATCCAGTTCTCCAGTGATGGGCATTTGGGTTGTTTACAGCATTTGGATATGGAGAAAAATGCTGCTGTGAGCACTTGTGTGGACATGGGCATTCATTATTTTTGGGGTATGTGACACCTAGGGGTGGTATTGCTGTATTAGGGGATAACCATATGTTTAAACTTTCGAGGAATGCGGGACTGTTTTCCACAGCAGCTGCACCATCTTACATTCCCATTAGTAGTGTTTGAGGTTTCTAGTTTTTCTATATCCTTGCCAACACTTGTTATTATCTGACTCATTGACTATAGCCAGCCTGGTGGGTGTGAAATGCTATCACATTGTGGTTTCAACTTGTGTTTCTGTGATGACTAACGATGTTGATTGTCATGCCTTTTTGGACATTTGTATATCTTTGGCGAAGTGTCCATTCGGATCCTTCGCCCATGTGAAATTTAGATTGTTTGCACTTGTTGGTGGAGTTTAACATGAGCTAATATTTCTGCTCCCTTGCCTGGCTTTTCTGTTTGTTAACCTCTTGCACAACCATGGCATATTTGTCAAAACTACGAGAACAGCATTGGAACATGATGATTAACTCACCTCCAGACTTTTTTTGTTCTAGATTATTTGGATTTCCTGGGTTTTCTCACTAATGTCCTTTCTGTCCCAGGATCTGATCTAGGATCCCACGTGGCTTGTAGCTTCATGCCTCTTTAGTGCCCTCTGGCCTGTGACAGTTTCTCAGTTTTTCCTTGTTGGTTTTTTTTTTTTTAAGATTTATTTATTTATGCATACAAGAGCTGGGGTACAGGCCAGAGTTGTGGGGGGGTGAGAGGATTCACCAGAGACAGAGTGGGGAGCAGAACAGGTGGATCTACCGAAATACACTGCTGAGGGGAGCAGTGGGCGAGTCAGGAGAGGTCTGCTGCGCCATGTGGGTTGCTCCCTGGCCACCTGGGTATTGAACTTGTGCTGCAGAGGCTGCAGATTGCTTCATAGTGCGTGCTTAACCCCTTGCGCCACCAGGGAGGCCCTTTTTTTTTTTTTTTAATTGATTTTTGCGTAGAAGAACTGGGGTGTAGGCCAGAAGTGCTGGGGCAGGGTGGTGGTGGAGAGAGGATTCACCAGAGACAGAGTGGGGAGCAGAACAGGAAGATCTACTGAAATACACTGCTGAGGGGGGCAGCGAGGAGACAGGAGAGGTCTGCTGCGCCATGTGGGTCAGCTCCCTGGCTGGGGATTCAACTCAGACCTTAGTGGTGATAGCGCTGAGACTCAACCCTTAGGCCACCAGGGAGGCCCCTTTCCTTAGTTTTCATGAAGTTGATGCTGTTGTGGAGCCCTGGCCAGCATTTTATGGACTGCTCCTTAATTTGGGCTTGTCTGATGTCATCTCATGGCGAGAGTGGTGTTATGGGTGTGTGGAAAGCACACCATAGGGATGAAGCATCATACTGGGGGAACGCGACACCCACATGACATTGCTGGTGGTGTGACCCTTGACTGCTTGGTTCAGGTGCTGCCTGCCAAGTCTCTCTCCTGACAAGGCCAAGAACCGACATTTAAGTGTTTAGTGTGTCCTGCCCACTGGTGTGGGTGTTAGCTCACAGTCCTCACTGCTACCCAGGAGGAAGATGCTCTTACCATGTCCATTTGAAGATGAGGAAACTGGGGCACAGAAGGTGAAAGCCCGCTACTTGAGGTTACATAGCTATAGAGTGTTGTTCCCCCAAATCTGGCTGGGGCCGTGTTTGAACCACTGCTCAGGATGTCTGTGCTGAGCTGAGCTCTCTCGCTGCCCACCTGGATTCCTGCTCCAGCAGTGATAGTGAATTGGCTCTGAATAAAAATCTGATGAGTGGGTGAGTGAATAAATGAAGGACTACCTCAAACAGATGATACTGGGGCTGGGGGCAGGTGTGGAGGGTTGTGTACCCCATTGGCTGGGCTACTCCCTTATCACCTTCTTTCCAGTCTTTGAGGGGCCTCCCCCCCGCTTGGAGTACCCTCTTTACAGCTGATAATCTCTAAGGCCCTCCTTGCAGTTTTAGCCATCCATGGCGTCTGAAAGCAGTGCACAGATAGGCAGTGCTGGGGTGCCAGGGAAGTGGTTTAGTCGACTTGCCTACTTGCTGCTGTAAACATGCCAAGCACATTCCTGCTCCGGGGCCTTTGCACATGTCTCCTCTGTTTGAAATGCTTTGTGTCACTCAGTTGGTTTGTCTGATTTGCTTCCTTTCTTTCAGGCCTTTGCAGAAATGTGGTTTTCTCGGTTGGAGTCTTCCTTGATTATTTATCATACACCCTTACCCCAGCTCTCTTTAGCACCCACTTAATTTTTTTGCATAGCACTCATGAGCAAATTGCATTCTTTTAATTTTACTTCTTTATTGGTTGATTATCTGTATCTCTTGACTAAAAAATTATAAGCCCTCTGAGGACAGAGATTTTGGTCTGTTCTGCTCATGGTTGTGTGTTGAGTGCCTGGAACAGCACTTGGCACAGAGTAGGTGCTCTGAGAACACCTATGCATGTGTGCTGAGCTTGAAGCCAGGCTCCCTCCATCATCATAGCCTTGATGAGACAGTCCAAAGGCAAGGCATGTGGCACGCTGACATTGACTTGAGCGCTTGAAGTGGGTCATTTGACAGATTATAGATCTACTTAACCCTTCAGTCCCTCAGCCCCGTCACATAAACTCCAAGCAGAAAGAGGTGTTTTGTGAACAAAATCTGTTTGCTTGTGAACAAAATGTATTTACTGTGTTGTCTCGCACATGCTAAGGGCTCAATAGATGTTGAAAAAAATATCAAAAAGAGCCCACAAAAACACGGTGTCTTTTAAAGTAATCTACAGATTATCTCTTTTCCTTGTGGTGCTTGCAATTTCCACAGACCCTCAATGGCAGCAGACAATAGGGGGGTAACCTTGACCTTTGGAACATATTTAACAAAATTGCTTTTTTCTCCTCCTCCTCCTTCTTCTCTGTCTCTGTCTCTCTGTGTCTCTCTGTCTGTCGCTCTGTCTCTGTCTCTGTCTCTCTCTCACACACACAGTGGTGGGGAACAACATCTGCGAACACAGATGTTGTGTTAGTGACTTGACTGACCTGAAAGGAACAAGCAGGGAGAAATCAGGTGACTCTCCAGGGGAAGCAGTGAAAATATTATGCAATTTAATGTATTTACTCACAAATAGTTTGCTCTGATCTGAGGCTCTGGGGAAACTGGGGTGAGTCTGGCAGTGTGAATAGAGAGTGGGGAATAGAGAGAGATTCCCTTGCTCCCCCTCTGTGGAGGGTGTGTGGAAAACTGAGTCTCCAGGTGCCTTTAAAAAAATGGTGTTTGGAACCTACTGTGTACAGGCAGATTTACAACCAAAGACCTCATTTCATCCACATCATGGTTGTTTCCTCTTTTTTGCAAGAGAGGAAATGGAGGCACGCAGCGGTCAAGCGACTAGTTGGAGGCCGCAGGGTTGGTCAGGGCAAGAGCTGGGACAGGGCCCCTGCGGCCTGGCTTCTCCTCCTGCCCATCCTGCTGTCTCCCTGCCCGGCCTTAGCCGGTGCTGCCCTCTCCAGGTGTGGGGCCTGCTCTCATGCGGGGTACAGGTTGCTCAGCCCCAGACAGTGTGGTGGACTCAGAGGCCTCTGGCATGTCACTCCTTCCCCGGAATCCCTCACAGGTTCCAGAAGGCCTGTGTCATGGTGTGCACCGTGACCCTGCCAGCTCAGCTGCTCCACAGACTGGGGTGGGGGAGGAGGGTGAGGCAGAAACCAGGGAGAGACATGTTCTAATGTGCACGTGTCCGCCTGGAAATGAAATGCCTTTTAATTTCAGCATCTGCTTTTTTCTCTCCCCCTGTGATGCTGTCTGCTGCCAGAGGCCCTTGGCCACAGGATGCGTGTTAAACAAATCAAATAAAGCCTTCGTTTGGCTGGCTGCTTGCTCCCTGGAGCTCCGCCGGCCTGGGAGGCTGACCTCATTCAAGCTGCTCACCTGTGTGCAGGGCAGGGCGGGTGGGGCCGGAGAAGGCGAGGCCTGTCTGGTTCCTGAGGAGTGACAGATGTGCCTGAGACCCTGTCCGAGACCTGGGTGCTGGTTCCAGTTCTGCCACCATCTTAGTTGGACCTCAGGCAACCTCTGGACATGTTGGATCTTAGTTTTTCTAGAGGATTAGACTAGGTCAGTGAGTTTTATATTTATTTAAATAATAAAACTCTTTTTCCTGGGGTGGAATGGGCTATGGGCTGGAAGGGACCTGCTCTTGGTCACTACTTTGACCTTCTGGGTGTTTAAGATGGCAGACTTGTTTCCACCTCAGGACCTTTGCACTGACTTTCCCTTTGGCATGAATAGCCTTCTTCTAAAATGATCTGTAGAGGGCCTCCTTGGTGGGGCAAAGGGTTAAGATGAAACCTATGAAGGTGTCCACAGCTACTTGCAGCACAAGTTCGATCCCCGGGCAGGGAGCTACCCACATGGCGCAGCAGACCTCTCCTGACTCGCCCGCTGCTCCCCTCAGCAGTGTATTTCAGTCAGTCTGCCAGTTCTGCTCTCAACTCTGTCTCTGGTAAATCCTCTCACCCCCACACCTCTGGCCTCTACCCCAGCTCTTGTATGCATAAATAAACCTTAAAAAAATAAAATGATCTAGAGTGCTGGCCCTTCTCTTGTCGTTCAGGACCTTGGATGTAGCTTCCTCAGACAACCGTCCTCAGAGAACCTGCCTGTCCGTGGATGTCCAGCACCATCCCTCCACCCCCGTTTTACTCTGCCCACTGCACTTATCACTCCTTGATATTTTCTTGTGTCTTCACTTGTTCATGTGTTTATGGTCAGTTTCCCCCACTAGCTTCTAGGTTTCATGATGGTGATTTTTTCTCCTCCACAGAGTGACGGTGAGGGGCTCTAAAACTCCGATGAGCAGATAATGAATAAATGAAGAACTAACTCAAACGATGAAGGAGCGATTACTCTGGCTTGGGACAGGTGTGGGGGCTGTGTGCCCCACTGGCAGTGCCACCTCCTCATGAACTTCTTCCTCCTGTCTTTGAGGGCACTCCCCATCTTGCCTTGGGGCACCCCTTTTGGACTTGATAATCTCTGAGGCCCCCCTTGCAGCTTCAACCATCTGTAGCCTCGGAAAGCAGTGTACAGCCAGGCAGTGCTGGGGTGCCAGAGAAGGGTGAGGTGGGGGCTTCAGTTGTCTCCCAGGCCCTTAGCCTGGCTCAGAGGTTTAGAGACAATGCCAAGAGTCCCTGGAGAGGAAGAGAAGCAGAGATGTGGGTCTCCTCTGGACACCCCCAGAGCCCAGCAGGCTGGCGGGGTCAGGGGAGTTAGATGGGTCTGCTGTTGGGGTGATGATCATGCCTGATTGTGGCATGTGGAGCTTGGCACTGACGCTTTGGACGAGGCAATAGAATCTTCTAAAGTAAGGCCTTCCGTGTGGCCAGTCAAGGGGAGCAGGCAGATGTGCAGGCAGGGCTACTGGGGAGAAGGAGGCTGAGAGGGACAGGGCCTGGTCCAGGGCGGTGGGGGTGGAGTGAGGGTGGGATTTGGGAGAGAAAGGGGGACTGAGAGTGGAGCCAGCCTGGCAGTGAATTAGGGGGTGGGGCAGGGAGAAGGGGGCATCCAAGACAGTGCAGAAGGATAATGATGCTCCTGTGCGGGGTCCTTCTGCATGACTGTGTTGGCAGAGATGGTGGGGGGCTGGATTGTGGAGAGGGAGGGGCCTCCTCCCCCCTGCCCTCGGCTGGGGTGGTGCTTCTTCATAACTCAGTTACTCTCACCTCGGGGTGCCTGGGCAAAGACCAGCCTTTGGGGCCACCTTCCAGTTTGAACCCCTCCCCCCGGCCCCAGGATTAATGTGCTGGTGGTGCTCCCCATGGGCCTTGGCACAGTGTGGGAGGACTCAGCGTTGATTGATTCCCACAGCAGAGAGCAGCGCACCCTGGAGCCACTGGGAGCACTGGTCCCCACTGGAACCCCTCTGATGAGGAAGGCTGCGTGTGACAGGCACATCTGTGATGGTCTGCATCTCCTGAGGTCTAAGGTCAAGGTTAAGGTCATCTAAAACTCCACCCCACAGGTCTTCCCTTGAGCCTCTTCTCCAACACAAGCTCTATAGTCCTCCCAGTTAGACTGAAAACCATGTCTGAGAAGAAGCAACTTAAGGAGGAGACAGGAATCTGAGGCCATATCGTAGGGTTTAGGGGTGCTATGTGGAGAGTGTGCTGAGATTGGCAGAAATTGAGGGTATTCTTTGGATATTAGAGTGTGTTCAGGACCTTGGGGATCGTACCTCCTGAAATTTGAGGACAGCTTATGGAATTCCAAGCTTGTTCTGGAACTCTGGGCTCTGTTTCAGAATTCCCAGGGATGTTGAGAAACCTAGGGTGGATGCTGGCATTCTGGGACATATTCCAGAACTCTGGGGCCTGTTGCAGTCCTGGGCTGGCTCCCCATCATTCACCTCCTAGGACTCGTCTTATCTGCTGTGATCTGCCCGTAACATGGTTACAGGGAAGCAGTTACTATGGCAACTGTAACCAGGGAGTGTATCAACTCCCAGAATTTACTCTGAGCCTCTGACATTTTAGCTGATGGAGAAGCGCAGTCAGCTCCTGAGGGCCTGATGAGCAGGGAATCCTGCCAACCCCTTCTTTGTACCTCCCTTCCCCCAGCCTTAAATTACCTCCCAGCAGGCCCCTGGATCTAGCTGCCCGACACTCCCTTGGGCAAATGAATATTCAAAAGCAGCCAAAAAGTGTATTCAAATCGTATAAACTTCTGCCTGCCTTGTTCCATTTGAATGCATTAGCATCTTCTGTTTTGTCCCATTTACCTGCCAGGAAAGTGAAGGGTAATTCCAGGAGCAGAGAATAAATGCTTTTCTCAAGTTGCTTTAACATCCTAGGTAGGGAAAGAAAGAGGTGGGGCTTGGACTCCTCACTTTATAGACTGGGCCCCTTAGAAAGACTCACAGGACCCCAAAATGCCAGAATCCACCTGCTGAGGCTGTGGTCCAGGGAGGCGGAGTACAGCAGAGAAGTCGCAGAGCTAGGTGAAAATCCAGGTTTTCTGACCCCCAGTTTCAACCTCACCCCCAGTGCTATATGAGTAGGTTTTGTTACCCAAAGTCACTTCTCTTTCCACAAAATCATGGACTATCATGTCTGGAAAACCAAGGAGAATCATGTGGGCTCTGCAGATGGGGAAACTGAGGCCCAGATCCATCCTTCTGATAGTTTGTTAGTGACAGAGCAGAAACCTGGCTTTCAGGCTCCCAATTTCTCCTGAGTCCTTGCTTTCACACTCACCTCTCCTACCCTATGCTCTCCATCCATCCCCCCAACCCATCCATCCATCCATCCACCCACCCACCCACCCCCATCTACCCACCCCATCTACCCATCTATCCCATCATCCAGCCAGCCACCCAGCCAGCCATCCATCCATCCATCCATCCATCCATCCATCCATCCATCCATCCATCATTCATCCATCCATCCATCCATCCATCCATCAATCCACCCACCCACCCACCCCCATCTACCCATCTATCCCATCATCCATCCATCCATCCATCCATCCATCCATCCATCCATCCATCCATCCATCCATCCATCCAAAAAGACATTATGTAACCGCTGAGTGCCCTCTACCACCTTGGATTGATCTTAGGAAGATCATGGCTGGAGCTCGTCTAAGGTCCAGACCTTCTGGTCAACCCCATCTCATTCAACTTCCCTCCTACCAAATAGACATTCTACTATCCAAGACCCGCATGTGGTCACCAGGCTCCTTCTAGGCACTCCTCCTGCCGACAATGTTCCTCCTGCCTACAATGCCCCATACCTCACAATTTATTTGAACCCTACTCATCCTTTATGACCACAAAGAGCCCCCCTTGCACCAGGAAGTTTTTCATGCTGCCTTGCTTTAGGGCAATCCCCAAGAGGCCTCTAGCGAAGCAGCCTTTGCTCTCCAAGTAAGACTCACAGCAGCGATGGAGCTAGGATTATTTTTTTCTGAGAAGATGCATTTCCTCAACTTGTGAAGGGCAGACTGGGACGTGGTGGGGCCTTTGAGTATTTCCCGAGGGGGTGTGACTTCCTTGGAGACAGTCCCTTTCTGGGAAAACAGGTTGCTCCTGGAGGCCTGCGCTCCTGCGGGCGCCCGACTCATCTTCAGCGTGTTTCTCTTTCCTGAACAGCTGGCCTGTGGGAGGAGGTTTACACCTCGAGCACCTTACCCCCCATTATCTGTTTTCCGGAACAGAGATTTCCTTCCATCATGGTGGTTCCTGGAGAAAAACTCAGCCCGGCCCTTCCTCACCTCAACAGAAATCAAAGCACACGTACATTTCATGTCAGTATCCTCCCCTACACACACAGGCCCCGGGTGTGCGCATGAAGGCCCCTGTTCACGTGGAGGGGTGTGTGTGTGTGTGTGTGTGTGTGTGTGCCTCAAATGCACACAGCGCTCGTCCAGGCCCCAAGTGTTTGTACCTGCTATATCGTCCTTCCCTGTGGGTAGCAGGGTCTACACGAGCGTGAGGCTTACACGAGTGGGCAGATTTACACCTGTACCCCACAAGGGGCCTCTGTCGGGGGCACATTCACCATGGGCACGTGTTTGTACCCTGCACACTCCCAACGGTGTGAAAGTGCAGAGTCGTGTGCCTCCACGGCAGCTGACGCTCACATCCCGTGTGCCAGACTCTGTGCCTGTGGGGTGTCTGAGCCCTTAAAACACACACACACACAGGGCTGTGTTCTTCTTCCCATTTTCAGGAAGGTAGAAACTGAGGCAGCGGGAGGTTACATAACCTGCCCAGATGCCCACGGCTAGGAAGTGGGCGAGCTTGGGCCTGACCTCAGGCTGGGGGCTCGGTGTCCACATGCATAACCGCAACACGAACTTGGCAATGAGAGTGTCTCTGCAGGTGTCTCAAGGATCAAGCCAGCTGGTAGCCTGGCCTTTCCTTCTCACAGGAGTGTACTTGGGGGCAGTTTTGCCCCGGGGTGTGAAGACAGGCAGGTGGTGAGAGTGTGCACCTGGCAGGCTGCCCACTTGGCAGGCTGCCAGGAGCATTAAGCTTTGTTAAGGGATCCCTGCCCTGTGGCCCCTGAGCCTGCCTTATGAGCACTGACCACGTGTGGCCTTTTCTTTTTTCAAATCCCAGGGCCCCAGGGCCGTGCTGAGACCCCTTTCCCAGTCAGGGAGCTGAGACTCAGGCCACCTCCCCAACTCTCCCTAGGAGTCAGGCTGCTCCCAGAGCCCCCACCCCACCGTGCTCCCCTTGTCACTCCCCTCATCTCCTCTTCTTGAGACCACTTTTGAGGACAGATGCCTCCTCCAGGAAGCCCTCCTGGAGCAGTCTGATGGAGGTAGCAACACCTTCCCACAGCAGCTGCATTGTACTTGGGAGCTCCCTGGGTCCTACTTCTGGCGCTGCTTCATCTCAGCTGTGTGACCCTGGGTGAGTTTATGGACCTCTCTGAACCTCAGTTTCCTTCTCTGTAAAATGGGGGTAATATTTGACATCAACCCCCAGAGGTCATGGGAGATTATGTGAGTGAACACGTGGGAAAGGCTTAGCCCAGCCCCTGGTGCTCAGCTACCACCTTCCTCGTTGTTTCAGCCTCACCGGCGAGCTTCTGCCTGGTTGCTTGCCGGCCTCCCTGGCAAGGCATTGTGCTCCCCGAGGACAGGGTCATCACTTATTCCTCTTTGTCCCAGGGCCTGGCTCGGTCCCTGTTGATTGAATGTCTGATGAGGAAACCCCACTCTCCCCCAGTGGGACAGATTCTGTCTATGAGGGGCTAAGCCCCATCTCTCTGCCTTGGGGTGGGGTGAGGCTGTCTGCTCCCTGCCAGGGATGCAAAGTAGGGCAGGCCTCCCCAGGGGGGTTGCCGTGGCAACAGGAAAGTTCTGCTCAGAGGCAGACACACAGGGTGGGTTGGGAGGCACAGGCAGGCGCTGTCGCTGCCCAGAGTCAGCGGCACATCTGTAAAATGGGGGCTGGGCTCCCAGCTCATGATTATGGTCCTATTTAAGGAGTACCTCCATGGGGAAGGCTGTTGAGAGCTGCTCAGTTCTGGCTGCATTATATTATCTTCATCAGCATGAACCTCCGCGGGCAAAGGGTCATTGCGTTGCTCACTGCTGCACCCCAGCACCTTAAACAGTGCCTGGCATACGGTGGGCGCTGGTATAGATCTGCCAAATGAGGAGTTCATCAAAGGAGGTGGGGACAGCTCAAGGTCCCGACATCTTGAATCCTACCAGGTCATGATTCCCAGCTGTGGTTTTTTCCTTCGCGTCCCCTCGATGCCATCCCACCAGCCTCCCCATGGACCCCAGAGTTCCACCTCCCACCCTAGTTGTAAACTCTAGGGGGCTGAACTGGGTTCCATCCAGTCTTGGGAAAACTGTCCTAGGCTGGGATTCTCGGACTTGGCAGGTGGCAGAAACTTGGGGTCAGGGAGGTGGGGGTGGGCAAAGTGGACAGAAGGAATCCAGGTCCCTACACAGCGCTACTGGTCAGACTCTCTGGGGTGTGGCTCTGTACTTGGGGTTTTCCAAGCTCCCAGGGGCTTATGGTGAGTGGCCAGATTCGGGGACTTCTCTTAGACCACAGCCCCCTGCAGTTGGAGGGTTTTTAAGGGGTAAGGGGTCCCTGGCTAACTTAAGGTCTGATGCCTCTTGTACCCCGGGGAGACTGAGGCCCAGGGAGGGCACATGGCTGGGCCGGTCCCAACTGCTCAACTTCTGCGCGTCAGCGTTCCCACCCGCCCTCCTGCGTTCCTCGTGGTGGCCTGGCTTCTCCTGCGGCCCGACTGAGCGGCTCTCGCTCTGCGTCCTGGTCAAGACTCCAGGCAGCAGGGAAGGAGCAAGGTCATAGACCGCCGGCCTGGGTGTGCGGCCTGGTCCTTCCTTCTCACTTCCCGGGCGAGTGCCCACCCTCTGGAGCACCAGCCTCTTCCTCCGGAAAATGACCCATTTCATAAAGAAGTGGACGCGAGCATGGCCCTCACAGCCAGGGGCCTGGTTCAATCCTGGCTGCACTGGGCTGGTGGCTGTGCGACCCCAGGCAAGGGCCCTCACCTCTCTGAGCTTTAATGACCTCAACTGTAAAACGGGGGAGATGAAACCCAGCTTCATGGAGGTGACTGTGAGGAGTAAGTGTGAGGCTGCCCACAAAGCACACGGTAGGGGTCTCAGCGCAACCGAGTGCCCTTTTTGGAAAAGGCCGGAGAGCCAGGACACAGACGACATCCATTCTGCTCCTCCCCAGGGCTGGGGGAAGTGAGAGAGAAAGCGGGAGCTTTGTGGGCATCCAAAGGCTGCGGCCCAGGGCAGCGGAGGGGAGAGGTGTTTGTTTGAACAGCCAGAGCTGCTGAGAGGCCCCTGGTGTCTGTCCATTAGCTGGTTCCTGCCGAGTCCACTTGGAGGGAGCTGGGGGCTGGGCAAGTGAGGAGCCCTGGCGGCTGCGTGGTCCTCTCTCACTGAAAAGCAGTTTCGAGCTCGTTATCTTACTGTGTCCTCACAATAACCCTGGTCGCTGTTGGCCCAGGGATCAGGCTTCCTGCTTTAGATGGCCGATGGGAGTCCAGCGAGGTCAGCTGGCTCGGCCAGGGCCTCTCAGCCAGCGGCGGCCAGGGGGAGGGAGGCTGTCTCTGAGGGTGTTGAGCAGCCGAGGGGCGTCCCTGCCGACCGAGTCCAGCTGAGCTCCTGCTTGCTGCCGCTCTGAAGCCAGAGCTCAGAGTTCAGATCCTGGCTTCCTAAGGCGTCACTTAAGCCCCGTGAGCCCGGCTTCTTCATCTGTCCAGTGGGGATCCCCACAGCCCCCGGGTTGCTGGGACGGCTCGGCTGTGTGTAAAGGTGGCTTTGCTGTCCTACGCGTGGCTGTGCTGCTTTCAGACGATATCGCCCCTGAATTCACGCCCCCATCTGGTCTCAGTTTTCTCACCTGCCAAATGGGCATGCGACTACCCAGCACCCATTCTGTGCTGGCATCGTGCATGGCACCTGGAAGCCAGGATTCCCTTCACTCTTCACAGCCCAGTGAGGCCTTTTCGACCCTTTCTCAGGACCAGGAAGCCAAGAGGCAGAAGAGTGAGCTGTATCTGCACTACCTGGCTCATGGCCTGATTGCCCAATTCAGACTCATACCTGAGACTCCAGAGTGCGCGGCCCCCTGTGCCTGCCTCAGGGGGGTCCTTAGGACTGGTGAACTTGTGGGGACTTTGGAGTTGGGGTCCTGTCTTGGGGCTGGAGCAGAAGGATCCAGCCTCAGGTGGATACTGCCCCACCTCTCCTCCCACCCTCGGTGGTGACGTCCCCCTGCCCAGCCCTGCTGAGCCCCTGCGTGTCCCCGGCAGGCCCAGCCATGGCAGGATGGCCACTAGCTGGCAGTGAAGCTCAGTGCTGGTCATGACCCTATTTTCATATGGGGCAGCTCGTGGTCTCTCCCCATGTTCAAATCTGCTCCCAGAGCTCCCATTCTGAAGGCAGGAGGATGTTATGTAACCAGGAGTGGGTTATGTAAGGCTATAGCAGGCTCTGGTGGGATGGGGGAAAAGAACAGCCCTCCCCCACCCCACCCCTGTGCTCCCAACCACCTGCAGAAGCCTCCGGAGCAGGGCCAGAGGCTCCCACCCTGCTCAGCTGTGTACCCAGGGACTGAGAACGCCAGCCAGGACCGGAGCAGGAGTGGGGAGGGCGAGGCAGTGGTGTGGAATGCAAGAGCGTTGGCGGCACGGCGGGTCTGGGGTCCTAGTCTGGGGCCCAGCTTGC